ACAAAATGAAAGTACACCCACCCACCCACACAGAAGAAAAAAAAACAATCCGCTTGTGTGGGGCCTTCACCGTGGCGACACCCTCCTCGGACGTTGGGATGGCCGTTTATCGTTTACGTTCTAACCATTTTGTAAATGCGGAAAATGTATAATTTATAGCGCGTTGCTTATCGGTATCTTTTCGCTTAATAAAGATAGAGACCTTCTGAATGAAACGCCAAACGTGCGGTGTCAAACCTCCCCTCGAATTGTTGAAGACGGACAGGGGTAAACCCCCCCCTTTAATCCTCAACGCCCTCCACTAGAACGCTTTACCCATCATTCGAGTTTGGGTTGTGGGCCGCGCCGCGCGGCGTCGGACTCCGGCGACCCCCCATTCGGCGGCCGAAGTCGTTTACGCGAGGCCGCCCGCCGCGGATCGCCGTCCCCGTCGATTTCGCCCTCCGCGGAAGGCGTAGGGGAGGGGCCGCGGCTCGCGTTCCCGGGGGGCCCCTCCGAGTCCGAACTTTCGCCATCCCCCCCGGCAGACCCCCGCGAAGACGACAAGGACGACGACGAGGACGACCCCGAGGAAGAGGAAGAGGAGGAAATACGCGAAATGGAGCCGAGCGGGCTGGGGGTTTGGCCTTTCCGGCCCCCCCCCGGGTCGTCGGGGTCCCTCGCCGCGAGCTCCGCCGCCCCATCGCTCGCGGCGTCCGGCGCGGCGTCGTCGGCGAGCTGGGCGAGCGCCGGCGCGAGCAGCGTCCGCATGAAGCCCTCGCGGAGCCGCCAGAGGTGGAACCACCGCGCGGCGTCGGCGAGATCCGCGGCGCTGGGGCCCGTCTGCCCGCCAAAAACGAGTTGTTGGTGGTGGTAATGGGTTAAAAGGCCCTGCAACGGCTCCCAAACCTCGCGGCCGGCCGCCAGGTTATCCCGCAGCGCCTTCAGCACCGCCGTGGCCGAGGCGAAATGGGGTTTTTCCCGGGCCGCGTGCGGGGCGAGGGCGCGAATGAGCAGCCCCGCCGCCGCCCGCGTGCTCGGGAAGGCGCGCTTGTCGAGCCGCTCGAGGACCAAAAGGACGTTGCGGTGGAGGTGCGGGGGGAGCTCGCGCGGCCCGGCCAAAACCTGCACCAACACCCGGCAAAGATAGCCCTCGCACTGCAGCGATGACGCCCGCAGCTGCGAAATCGCCAACCCGCCGGGCGTTTCTGAAGGGGGAGTGGGCGCTTTCCCGGGCCTCAGGGGTTGAGGCCCGGGGGCGGTGTGCCATCCCGCGCCGGCCATGCGGCCCCAGAGCGAAGCTTCGGGGGGGTGGTGGAGGTAAACCCCCCACCACTTCGCGCTCGAGGCCGCCACCAAATAATTCACCTTCACGACGCCCTCGTGGGGCAGGGGGGATCCGGAAGGGGAAAGAGGGGCGTCCGCGGGGGGGGCGGCGGCGGCGGCCGCCGCCGCCAGGACCCGCTTGACGGCCCCGGTCAGACCAGGCACCTCCGCCGGCTCCAGCAGGCGCAGGATGTAGTTGATTAAGTACCCTAAGCGCTTGCTTTCGGCGTCGGTCAGGCCGGCAAAAAAGGTGCAGGCCTTGGTCAGAAGAAGAAACATCAGATCCACGACGCGGTCGTAGCAGGATGGGGCTGGATCGCCCGATTCCCGGCGGCTTCGCGCGTCCTCGGCGTGGGCTTCGCGAAGCAGCCACTCGAAGAACTTTTGGACAAAAAACATCTCCTCCAAGCTCAGTAGGGCGCGCGGTAAAAGGTAGATCGACACCAACAACAGCCTCGCATCCCGCCCGGCCTCGTCGTCGAGGGAGCCGCCATCCCGAGGGAGCAAAACGCGGGACTTCAGCGCCTCGAACAACTCCTTTCGGGCCCGCGCGCAGGCCTCGTCGTGGGCGAGCCGGCGATGGGCCTCGCGCTCCGCGTCGATTTGCCGATCGAGCGATCGCACCCACCGCAGGCTGAGTTCGCCCAAGGAAGGGGTCAAGGAAAAGGAAAGAACAGGGCCCTCGCCGGCCGCCTCGGCCGGGGATTGAGGCGGATGGCTCCGCGTGTGGGCCTGCGCGAGGCACAACTTCCAGCTTTCCAGGGCGGCCTGGTAAGGGGCCTCGTCGAAGTCGAGGTGGGCCGCCGTGAACGCGCTCAGGCGTCGTAGAAGGCCCAGCGTGAGGGTGCCCGCGGTGAGCTGGATGCGGCGGGCTAACCATCCCCACGCCGCATCCTCGGCCATCGCCGCATCCGGCTTTTCCTCCTCGTCGGCGGCGAGGAAAGACTCGGGGGCGATCATCATCGAGGTCATGAGGCGATCGCGCGTCGTGAAGTGGGCCCCGCGGTCTTTAAGCTCCGAGGCGGGGCGGGTCGCTCGGTTTGGGAGGCTTCGCCACTGCGAAAGCCGCGCGTGGAGTCGGAGAAAAGTGTGCGGTAAGGCGACCCGCGCGAGGAGCTCGTCCGGCGGGCCAAGCGGGCTGTCCGATTGCCCCATCCGCAGCAACTCCTCCATCGCAAAGATCAGGTCGTTCAGGGTGTTGTAGTCCTTCGAGGACGCCTGCAAGACCTCCTCCATACTTCCTTCCAAATCGGCCTGGAGCTCATAAATACGACTCTGGAGACGGCACAAATGCAGCACAATCCACGCCCCGATCGACATCGTGACCGTCGTCGTGGCGTCCTCGGGCTTTTCCGCGTCGCTTTCGCCGTCTTCGCGATCGCTTTCCGTCGTGGCGAAGGCGTTAGCGGGGCCGGCCTCGACCACCGTGGGCATCGCCTGCTGGAGGGCCTCCACGAGCACGCAGCGCCCGGCCGCCAGGCTCGCCGGCGTCAACCACGCGCTCCAGCGACTGAGCCGGAAGGAATCCATCGCGCCTTTGCCAAAAAAGCGAGCCCACAGCCCCGGCAGGGCGAGGGCCTTGAGCTGGGCCTCGCTGAACTGCTCCTCGTGCTCGAGGCGGCGGTGGGTGAGTTGGTAGAGCAGCGCCTTAAGGAGCTCCAGGCCGCAAATCAACTGATGCCGCGAATCCTGCCGAAGCGACGCCTCGGCGGCCTTCACCAACACCCGCCCGGCGATCCCTACCTCGTGATTCGCGCCGTCGCGCTCGGCGGGGGCGATCGCGTTGTCCCGCCAGAGGGTCGCCAGGAAGTTCGCGATTAAGGCGACGCGGCTGGACTTTTCGCCCGGCCCGGGGCCAATCCGCTCGACCGCGGCGAACCGCTGCATGAGGACCAGGCCGTGGTGAAAGAGCATCGTCAGGATCGGCGTCGGGGCGCCAAGAAGGAGCCGCGTGTGGATGGCCAAAAAGCTGTTCTCGTAGCCCACGGCCTGCTTCAAAAGGGTGTTCGCGACGGCAATGGGGTCCGCATAGAGCACCTCACGGAGGCGAATACGGTAGTACTCCACATTCTCGGCGTTAATCCGCTTCAAGGACTGCTGAAGAAGCGCCTCCAGCTCTTTCCCGCGAATCCGATCATGCGGATGGCGAGGGAAAACGGCCAAGCCAGAGGGCGCCGAGGACGAGCCCGCGTCGTCCTCGCTGTCCGCCTCGCTGGGGGTGTTGGGATGCCACTCCGTGAGGGCGGCCGCCAGGGTGCGGCGCGCCGGCCCCGCGTTTGGGGCCGAAGGCGGCAAAAGAGACGCCATCCACAGCGCGGCAAAGTGCAAAAACCCCGTCGAGGCGTCAGGGGGGCCGAAGCCCAGCCCCGCCGCGTGGCCCTGCAGGACGGCCAAGCAGCGCTGGATTTGGTCGTACACCAGCGGCGAGGGCGGCAGCACGCGCAGCCCGGGCATCACGACCTGCACGAGATACCGCTCCGTCAGCGCGAAGCAGGACCGCGCGAAGGACGCCGCCGACTCCCCCTGCTCGGGCGGGGTTTGGGCGCCGGAAAAGGCCACGGCGGCCTCGCAGAGCGTCGCCAGGCGCGCCGTGAGCGGCAGGAGCAGCGTCTGCGCGGCGACGTACGTGTTGGCCATCGCCAGCAACGGAAAGAGCCCGTCGAGCCAGCGAAATTGCCCAAGTGGGCTGGCGAAGACGGCGGGGTCGCCGCCAGGGCCCCAGCGGCTCAGGCGCCGCGCGAGGGTCTCGATTAAATAAACCTGCACATTGACCTGGTGCGGCAGGGCGCGCTTGGGGACGAGGAAGACGTCCGCGCGCCGCCCTGGGGGCCGCAGGAGGTCGGCCACCAAACGCCCAGCCCAGCCGTAGGCCCTCGGCGCGAGCAGCTCCAGCAAAAAGCGGCAGGGCGAGGGCGCAGGGGGGGGGGCGGCCCCGGCGGGGCCCCAGGCCGGCCGGGGCTCGGGATAGGCCATCTGGCAGAAGCGCTGGCCCTGGCGCTCGCCCGCGCGCGGGATGGCCTCCAGAAGGTAGGCCGCGCCGTCGAGGGCCGGGTTGTTGTTGTTGTTGTTGTTGTTGTTGTTGTTGTTGTTGTT